GGATATATGTACTGCTAAATCAATTTCTATCAATTTGGCCCTTTCCACAAACTTAGAAAACTTTCGAATCCGTAAATATACTAATGGATGCCTTAACACCATGTTTAATTCTTACAAAAATTTATAGCACTTTTCTTCAGTAGTCGGGATCAAATGAGGAGTGTACCTAGTAAATGTAGTAAACTTAGCTTCATAATATGTTACTGTCTTACACTCTTGTTCCAATCTTATAAAGGCTTCTTGCATTTATAGTTGGACTGAGGGAGGAACAAATCACATCCTAAATACTGTAGTGAACTCTTCCCAAGTAATCTTTGCATTATTTTTTCATTAGAGTTTATCTTATTGTTATCCTACCCACCATCTCTCTACTTCACTTTCAATAAAAAAAAAAAAAAAAAAAAAAAAACTAATGGTAGTCGGCGGACGACGGTGGTTGGAGGTGTGATAAGATTTTAGAGTTGTGACACCTGCAAGTTCAACACCTTGATTGAGCTGCTCTAGCCTGATTGGAAAAAGCTGCAATAAGAGGATTTAGGGAGAAAGAAGAAAATTTTTAGCGACTTTGGGTTATTTTCAGTCGTCGGCCCAGTTTAAAAGTTATCTGGATTGAGATAAACATTATGCCTATCCCAGTTTTTAAAAATACAGAAATTTATCAAATTTTTTTTATTAAATTTATATTTTCATTAGCAAAAATACATATAACTGTGCACTAGAAAAATTTTTACCTAGTAATTTTTATATATTATAGAGATTATGATTATAAATATTTTGAATATTTTTTGAAATTTTTATATTGGGTATCTTGGAATCTATGTAATTTTAATTAAAGAAAAAATAATGTGAACACTAAAAAATAAGCTAGTAGTATGATGAATATCTTAAAACAATGTTTTACATAATCTTTTATAATTTAGTTATGTTCTAACATTTTAAAAAATTGTTCAATAGGAAGTTCAGTTGTCTACCATTATAGAACACTGTGCAATTCTAACATGTGCTAAATTTAGCTTTAACTGTTATAATGTGATGAAACATATGCTTATATGATTGAAATATATCTAATGGGAGCTATAAGGGGCAAGAATCTTCTGTCTTTTATATGTATCAGAAAATATTTCGGTGCATGTAAGACATGTTCTAATGGCTATATGTCATATTCTGGTGTCTACGGGTATATTCTGGTTCTATAAGCACAAAAGAGAGTTATAAGGAGCTAGAATCTTTTGAGATTCTATCTTGGTCCGAGGAATGTGATATGAACTACTATATGATATGAATTACAATTTATTTATTTGCTCAATAATGGTATTTAAATAATTAAATAGCTATTATGCTCCTATTAAATTTATCAGCATAGCGATTTATTAGACTGCATTTAACTATTTTTAAATATTCAACAAAATTTAATAAAAGAATTTAGAAAATTAGATCAGACTGTGTGGCCTACTAAACTATTATAGCTCACTATGATTTTATTTCTTATTTTTATGATATGGAAAAGGGAAGGAGACTGTCGATTAACAGTTCAGAATCAGGCCTAAGGTTATATTTATTTCTTTGTTATATTTTTTATACAATTATGACTAATTTAGTATTCAGTTCTATAGTTTCTACATGTAGCCATGTACTATAACGTAAATATGTTTAATTAAATAAAAGAAATCTTGTGGATGAGTTTATTTAAGTATTTGAATATTTTGGAAGCTATGCATTTTATAGTTTATTTAAAATAAAATCAAAAGATAATCTAAAATGTTCCAAAATTAAATCTTAGAATTTTCCTGTCACAGCTCAACACGATTTGATCTATCTTGATCAGGTTAGAGTGTGATAAGCTTTTGTGGTACTAGAGTAATAGTTTTGGAATGGATTGTAAAACAGTTGTGACACTTGTAGATTTAGCATCTGGATTGATCTATTTTGACCTGAAGCGACTAAAAAATCATCTTCTTCCTTCCTAAATCCTCTTCTTGTAGTTTTTTTATCAATCGGATCAGAACATGTCAATCCAGATTTTGAACCTGTAGATGTCATAGAAGGGACCATAGTCGGCGGGAGGTGGTGGTCGGAGAGACCGTAGTTGGAGGGTGGTGGTGGTTGGAGGGATCGTAGTCGCTGGGCGATGATGGTAGGAGGGATCGTAGTCGGTGGGCGATGGAGGTTGAAGGCACCATTGTTGGTGGGAACTGATGGTTAGAGAAACTGTAGTTGGTGGCTGACAGTGGTCGAAGGGGTCGTAGTCGGCGGGCAACTGAGGTTAGAGAGATCCTAGTTAGCAAGCGATGGTGTTCGAAGGGACCGTAATAAGTGGGCGACTGAGGACAAAGGAACTGTAGTCGATGAGCGATGTTAGTTGGAAGAACTGTATTTTAGCGATGGTGGTCAGAGTTGCGTATCAATGAAATCCTAGAGGAGGTCCAAAGGTAATGGGCGTCTGGGCAGAGGTCCAACGGCAGTTGGCGGATGGGTGGTGGTTCAACAATGATCGGTGGAGGAGCAGTGGCTTGACGATGGTAGGCGGACAGGCAGTGGTCTGGTGAAGGTTGGCGGGCGTGCGATGGTTCGAAGACGGTCGGTGGCCGCGCGGTGATTCGGCTATGGTTGACGGAAATTTGTCGATGATGGTATTTGGGTAGAACTCTAGTATCTTTGAAGCCTTAAAGTTGTTTCTAATCTCCAACCAAATGTCCCTTCATGAAGAGAGCATGTGCCAATTAAATATTGAGAAGATCCAAGATAAATTTAGATTGCTCCATCGGATAGCCAATATTAATTCCTTTTGATCAAAAAGCATTCATTAAGCATTTAAGTGTCGTAATAACATCATAGTTAAGCAATCTTAGGCTTGTTAGATTCATCTCGCCGAGGCGCTCGATTCGACTATAAGTATGCTATATATGGGGATTATTTGATCATCAAACTAATGCTTTGAACCTTCCACATAAGCTTTGGTCCATTGGTTTGGACCCATTTGGGCTCGAATCAAACCAATTTCAATGTCGTTGGATTTGTCTTCTTGAGATGTTTAATTTGACTATAAGTTTATTGAAATCAAAATTTGGATAGTCCCAAATGTAATTTAAAAAATTTTCAAATTTGGATAGCATTTTTCGGTTACGTATGAGTTGACCCCTATTTTTAGACGTCGCAGCTAATGGAGTCCAAAAATATATGTTTGAGTCCCTCAATTTCTTGGAATATAAAATTATAATTTTTGGGTAATTATAAGGAACGAATGCTCCTTGGACGTCAATGTGTATCTTCCTTCGGGGTCGTGAACCAAGTAAAATAACCTTGATTATAAATTTAGAGCTCCATGAAGTTGGCGTGATGATCAGAGCAGAAAATATTGAAATTTTTTTTCCAAAACTTTTGGAATTGCTTGAAATTGACTGTAGTGGTTTTGGTGGGCCTTGCAAATTTCAAAATTGAATCTAGTACATCGAAAAATGATCTCGATGGCCGCAAAAAACATATAAATCATACTATTCGGGCCTAAAATTGGTCCAAAAAAGCATAGGCGGTTGAACCGGCTGGTCGGAATACCTTTCAAATCCCGAAGAGCAAAATAAAATTCAACTAATAATTGTTTAAGTATTATGTAGATCCAAATGTACCAATGGAAAGCAAAATATTTATTTTTTTTCATAAATTTAATATAAATAATTATATTGTAACAATTTCAAATGAAGTTGGTGTGTTAATAGCTTGACAGCCGCTGCCGGCTCTTAATTAAGACTTCAAGCTACGAGGGTTTGAAAGTCAAATAGAAGCTACTCCCATTTCCAAAATCAAAATTTTCTCTTTTAAAATTTTAATTACAAAAAATAATTTAAAAATAAGCATTAAAATGTAATTTACTAAAATTTAATATACTAATAAAGTAATATTCACATACATAACATTATAAATTATTTTTTTACGCATTTAGGCTTAAAAAATTTTCTTATTACTTTGCTTTTTAAAAAGCAGTCATAATTTATATTTGAATACTTTTTTTTATCTTTTTTTCTTAATTGCACTATGAAGCTGTTTTTTATAATATTTAAAAATAGTTATTTTTTTTTACGATAGCTATATATAACCATTTTTATAAAAAGTTGTAGACAGCACAAACATATTTTTATCATATAAAACTTACTTTTTCATACTAAAATACTTAATTATCTTCATAACAAAATCCTTGAAGATGACAGATGAATGTACGATATCCATGATCAGATCTTGCTGGATGACGAATGAGAAATGATAAAATTTAGAGGGGATCTACTTAAACGAGAATTGATGGGCTCAAAGAGAAATTATTTTGTACGGACACCGAATAGTCCAGAGGTAAATCATAACGAGCCACGTCATCCGGTACCCAATAGTATCCGGCATCGGTACCGAGCCAAAAAATGACGTGGCGCATTCTTATTGACCTTCAGATGACGTTTGATGTCTGCATAGAATAATTTATCCAATAATAGAATGTGAAGGATGAATAAGATATGACAAAATTGTAAGGAGATCTTCTTGGGCTGACGAAAGGGCAAATTATCAAAATTGTAAGGAGATCTTCTTGGGCTGACGAAAGGGCAAATTATTAGGTTTGTCTGGACAACAATCCAAATCAACCACGTCACTCAAATAGATCGGGTCCAGTGTATTTGGGTGACGTGACATGTCTGAATTGGATGTTCAGACATCCGGACGTAATAATTCGCCTGACGAAAGGAGTTGGAATCAGCTGCTTGAGAAATATAAGGAGTTTGGTAATGTATTATAATGGTGAAATTTTAGATATTGATGAGATAAATATGGTTAGTAAAACTGTTATTTAAATGAATTCCCCACTAAAAATTTCAAAATTTGACCAATGAGTAGGAAAGCAGCTTCCTCTGTTTCTCGCCCACCTCGCTGTTATTCTTCTGATCCTGAATACGAGGCTCGAGCTACAGAAGGAAGAGAGTCCCCACAGATATCCATATTAATGGACTCTCTGCCTCTCTTTTGATACCTTATCTCAATTCTCACCACACCGCGTTGTCTTCTACTCCATCTCTATCTCCCGCGCCTCCCAACTCTCTTTCTCTCGATTATATTATCTTAAAAGAACCTCCTTTACTCCTATCGAACTACCTCGTCCACAAAGTTTTCTATAGTTATATTCGAAAGGGGGGACTTGCTGGAAACCCCATCGAATCGTTGCGTGCTTCAACGCCGCACCAATTGACGACGAAGTCGGGGGTTTTTTTATTTATGGCGCTGATTTTGAATGCCCTAATGGAGATAATGAGGATGCCGACGATTGGGGGAGTTTTATTGGAGTTGGCTTTTCTTGCTACGCCTCTTTGGGTCGCAGTCTTCGTGGGGCTTGTTGTTGGATGGGCGTGGAGGCCGAGGTGGGCGGCTGGTTTGGTCGGTGGAGGTAAGGGGAATTCTGATGATGAAATGAATGTTAATGAGAGCAAAGATGCGTTCTATGGTTTGCAGCTGGCGGTTCCGAGGTTGGATTGGCTTAGGGCTCAATTGCCGAGCTATGTTACTTATTTGATACCCGAACAGGGCTCTGAGAAGAAGAAGAGCGATGTTGATTTGGGGTAAGTTGGTTTCCTGAAGAAACTTGATTTGTTTCAGTTTTTTTTTTTTTTTTGAAATAATTTTAAGAAAGTTCTGATCTTGCTTTTGATATGAACTGTGAAGCTCTCCGTCACAAGAAAATAAGAATTTGGCGGTGACATTGGAGGATTTTCAGAACCTATTTGCTCTTGTTGAAACAACAGATGGCGGACCAGCTTGGATTCACATGATGGATAAGAGCTTGCCGAGCTTGAGCTACCAAGCTTGGCGCAGAGACCTTGAGGTGTGCTTATTTTTTATGCTCTTTTATTTATTTTGGAGCTGGTTTTATTTCATGCTATCATGTTTAAAGGAGCAATCTTTATATTTTTATGCTACAGAAAGGTCCTCCACAATATCGCAGCAGAACTGTTTTTGATGATGCAAAGCCTGAAACTGTGAGGGACTTCTTTTGGGATGATGAGTTTCGGATGAAGAACAAATGGGATGACATGCTTCTGTATCATGAGACTTTGGAGGAATGTCCTGTTACAGGGACAATGTTAGTTCATTGGATTAGAAAGGTGAGAGCTTGTTTGAGCTCTGATAGTCAGCTGAGGAGCTAGTAATATAAGCTAATTTGTGTTTCCTTATGTTCTTTATGCATGCATTGCAGTTCCCCTTCTTCTGTAGTGACAGAGAGTACACTATTGGCCGTAGGATATGGGAAGTAGATGGGGCTTATTACTGTGTCACTAAGGTATGTGACAAAGCTTTTGTTTTACTTCTTTTACTTTGAAAGATTCATGCAAGATACCCAAATTAGCTATCTTCTTTCATTTGGTGGTGAAATATGCTGTGGTGCAGTCCTTAGGCAAGTTGCTTTATGCACTGCATGGTTTAAGACCATCTCCAACCAAACGCAAACATGCATATGGCGTCATTCGGTCCCTCCAGCCGAACGCCAAATCTTCCGCTATTTGCTTGCGGGTGAACAGCGCGACACCAATATTGGCGTTGCACTGTTCACCCATTCGACTTTTTTGTCTCAATTGGATTAGCCGTAGAAATGCGCCAAAGAGGAGAAAGACGGCTATCTTCGTAGAAGCCCGCAAAATGGAGTTCGATTGGAGATGAATCACGACATTTTTTAGTTTCACTGCATTTTGGAGTGAAAAATGGGATTTTCAGTTAGAGATGCCCTAACTTTATGATATGAACTCACATATGTAGCTTTGCTGTGTAATTCTTCCTTGTTGTGCTCGTTAAAATTTATATTTGCAACCTTAGATATGCATGTATTAAATCACTATATTATTGCTAGAGTCATTTCTATGATGGAATACAATTTTTGTTATTGTAATTCTTTCTTGTTTTGTCTACTCGTCAAAGGACACAGCATGCATAGCTAAAAACTGCATTAACTTTATTTAAAACCTTTTTTATTGTATGTTTTCTATTTTTCTGCAGTGTCTTAAACCGTTGTAGGTGCAATAATAACAACAAAATAAATCTTCTTAAAAAAAAAAAACTAGCAATACTTCTAATCTCATATTGATTATGTTGTTTAGGTTAGATCTAATATTATAAAAGGACTTGGTTGCATTGGGGAGTATGGACTATTTTTTTGTCTTCAAAGCATGAAGAATGCACTTTAGTGATGAGCAACTTCGTGGTTTTTTTGTGATTCATGAATGAATATTATAAGTACATTTACTGCAATCCACATAAGGGAATTAGAATTATTTCTCATGGTCGTTTTATTTCTATTTCTAGATAAATGAGAATTTAACTTTTAACATGACACAATGGCGAAAAAGGATTCATGTAGCCGACCCCACGTAGTGGGACAAAGACTTGATGTTGTTGTTGTTGTTGTCGTTTTATTTCTTTTATTTCTAGAGATACCATATAGCTACATAAGAACAATATAATGATGGGGAAATATTGGTATTCGCTAGAAACTTTAGATGGAAATGGAACATTTATGAAATTATGGGTGAAGGAATCCATTAGCTTCACTTTCTTGTGAATCATGTGTTGGTGGCCTTGGTTATTATGCTTAATCATGTTCATTTAGGAAGATATGGTATGGGTGGAAAGTTCAATCTCCATGATGATTTAAGAGAGCCTAGTTAGTCTGTTAATGAATCTTGCTAAGTGCCAGATTCGATAAGCTTGATTTGTCTATTATTTGTATATTTTATCTTAAGATTTGATAAGAGAGATTAGTTGACTATTAGGATATTTTAACTTTCAGAACTTTCTCTGAACTATGGCTACTAGGAGTAGGAGGAAAATGCTACATCCTGAGCCAACCCTGATGTTAGAAGCTGATTATTTCAATGGTTTTTCCATGTGCTGCCTCCTAACAAAATGAAGCAACTGTTGGTTCTCGAAAATTATAAATTTTTTTGGAGTTTGAGGGCTTGCAATGATTTGTGTGCTGAAATTTAAACTATTGGGCTGATGGGATATGAATGTTAAAATCTAATATTTGTGGTGTTTTTCATAGGAGAGATGGTCTTATAGGGATGTGTTGAAGTTAAAATATTTCTCTCTTTGTTTGGTTAGTGTATATTTAGGTATCTTTGATTATGGAAATTATAATTTGTGTCATTTTTTTGCAAGTGTTGTTATCTTTGGGAGAAGGCTAAATTAAACATGTATACAGCAAATAGGTTTTCACACATGGAACTTCTTGTTTGATTCCTATAGCTCTGGGTGTTATAAATAGGTTTTCAGTCTTAGTCAAATGTTGCAAAAGTTCTATAAATATTATTATTTATAAAAAAATAAAGTTTGAGTAGGTAATATTTTACTTTCCTGGAACTTATTGTAGGGCCCAACCAATGTTATCAAAAGTAATAGATACTTTCAATGTGGTATGAATTTCCATTACAGGAGATGCTAGGCATTACTCAACATACTTGACTGAACAAAGTGTGGTATTCAAAGAAAACAACTATAACTTGTAAATTAATTTTAAGTATGATAAGCATATTTTCAAGAAAATAAAGTGATAATCATCACAGTAAATTAAGCGGGAAAAAAATATGGCTTTATATGATGCGGACATCCAACCGTCCATGGCTATCCGAGGAGCTGAAGAACAACGGCTATCATCGTCCCACGTAATCTTATATTTTATTTGTAATTTTTAAATTTTTATCATAAATTTTTCATTTTTACCCTCACTTAAAAGGGGCGTCCTATGTAAGCCTTAGAGGCATATGTGTCTTGTTTTAGTTTCTTAGACGTATATATAGAGGCCCTTTCTTGTGTAATGGGATGATAAATTGTTAATGAAATTTTATTCTACTTGTTTGATCTCTTAGTGAGTTCATGAGAGGAGAATGATCTCTTTGTGAGTTCCGAGATTCCCAAGATCTCTTTGTGAGTTCTTGAGGAAGTGGCATTTGCAGATCTCTTTGTGAGTTCTATTGGAGTTGTTACTCGAGGTGTGTAGCTCCGGATTTTCTTTTTCCTAAACCCAATTTATTTCTTCTCTACCTAACCAAACACTCTTCCTCCTAAATCCCCTCCACCGGCCCCCATAAGTCCACCGCCGGCCACCCCAGGCCAATCCCTCCACCGGCGGCTCTGCCGGCCTCCTTGGGACGGCCAATCCACCGGCCTCTCTCTTGGGAAATTCAAATTTGAAATTCAAATTTATTTCCAAGAGGCATTGAAGACTTTCCTAAAGTAGTTCTTTGATTTAAGGCTTTCATATTAATTGGATGTCAATTTGAATTTCAATTTGAATTTGAAATTCAAATTAATTCTAATTGATAGTCCCATTATTGGAAACTTACCTTTCTTTAAAAATCTGAATTTTAATTTTGATTTTATTAAATCTTTGATTAGTAATATGGGCCCCACTCTACTTATGACAAATAATCTCCTCTCTTTCTCTATGTGGCCGGCCCCCTCATTGGGCATAATCTCTCTCCTATCTCATTAATAGCCCTCCTCATTAAGCCTCCCTAATTACCTCCCACAATTCCTTCTCATCCAATTTAATTCTCCTCATTAAATTTGAATTTAAATTCAAATTCATCCCGCCAATTCCACTTAATCTGAAATTTAATTTCAGATTTCCATTCTCTCTCCCCAAATTGATTTGGGATTTAATTAATCTTGCCACCTAGACAAGTAAATGGCATTTACGTTTTACATCATTATAAGTTCTATTATATTCCAAATTCAAATTTTTGTTGTAGATAAGTATTTGAGTTTATTGTGTACATAGCCTCGGGATATCTAACCTTAATTACTATTTATTTCATTTCTGTCATTGTTCATGTTCCCTTTTCTATCACTAGATTTCTAGCCCTCTATATCTTCTTCTATCTCCTATCAGTCATCTTTTTTATCACAAGATTTTCAATTCTAGAATTTAAAGCTCTTGTAGCCACACATGGAACACTACCCTTTTTCAATCATAAGTCCTGGAAGAGAAAAAGGAGGGTTGCGTTAGGTAATCGACAGTCAGCGTAAAATTTATGGAACAATCATGACATGAGTACCCCTCAAACTTAAGCAAAAAATTTATGCTATGGTGGTGAGACCTGCAATACTTTATGGCTTTGAATGTTGGCCATTAAAACAATAACAACAACAATATCAAGCCTTAATCCCACTATGTGGGGTCGGCTGCATGAATCTTTTTCTCCATTGTGTCTTGCTAAGAGTGAAGCATAAAATTAAGCTAAGTGTTGTAGAGATAAGGATGCTCAGATGGAAGAGTGGTTTTACAGTTGGAGATAGAATGTGAAATGAGTATATATGTGAAAAAGGTTGAAGTAGCTCCAGTTGCAGATAAAATTAGAGAGAGTATCATTAGATGGTTTGGTCACATGAAATGTGATCCGAGTCACATGAAACGTCAACCTTCGGATCACTTAGTTGGGAGTGCAGATGTATTAGATATGGCTTATGTTAAAAAATGTATAGGTAGACATAAAAAGGTTTTATTAGAAAGTATTAGAAATGATTTTTTTATTATATTTAAGTGAGAATTCGATTCTTAATATGACATAATGGAGAAAAATAATTGTGGATGAAATGGATAGGGAGGTTGGCTGGTCGAACCTTGACTGTAGGATAGCTAGGACTTCATTGACTGTTAGCTTGATATGTATCACTAAAATTATTATGAACGGGTTTTTTTCATTTTCCAAATATGAATCCATACATCTTACAATTTAATTGTAAGTTATATAGAACTTATATCCTTATCACGCAATCCATTAAGGTATTTGTTCATTTTAACCGTCAAAACTTAAATACTAACTGTTATATCCCTATATATGCCCTCTATTTTTTTTTTTTTTAATAAATTCGAAGTAATTAAATCTGTTACTCCATGATACTGTCACACTTACTAAAATCACTTATCCTGTACTCATCTTCGAAGAAATTAAAGTCATTGGGCTTTTTTATTCCCCTTATATTTCCATTTTCCAACTATCTTTCCTACCATAAAGTGAAATAGCCTTATTAATAATAAATTATCATTTTTATAATATATTGGTGACAATCTGATGTAGAACCAAAAGCAAGCCATGATTAAAAATTATAAATCTGAAATTAATGCCAGCAAATAGAAGATCGAAAATTAATTTGAAGGGGGGGATTGATTGGGGGGGGGGGGGGGGGTGTGGAGATTTAGTTGGAGGGAGTAAAAAGGGAAATAGGGAGAGAGAGAGGGCCGGCGATTATGGGTATTGGAGGGAGGGGATGCTGGGAGGGAATTTAAGGGATTGAGATAGATTGTCAATCAAAGTCATCTAAATTGGAGAAAGAGGCTTTAATGCTCAATTTACTCTTGAATTAAATTGAATTTAATTGGCCTGGATTGGAAGGACTTCCTAATATAACTTCTCTTATTTTGGAAAGAATTTCAAAATTCAAAAATGAATTGAAAATCTGAAAAATAAAAGCTTCCTAATTTAAGAGGCATCACATGATGGAAAGTAATTAATTAGGGATTTGAAGTTCTTAATGGACATTGATTGGAAATGTAATTAGGGCCTTATGGAAATAGGATGAAGAGATGAGGGACTGGAGGCTAAAGGAGGGAGGGATGGAGTTAGAAAGGATTTCAAATAGTTTTCCAAGCAAAGCCAATTTAATTAAAAGATATTTAATGTTCATATCTCTTTTAATTTTGAATTCAAATTCAAATTGAATTTGATTTACGAAAATTTTTCAAAATATAACTCGTGTTAAATTAGAAAAGAATTCAAATTTGAAGATTTCAAATTTGAAATTGATTCAAGATTGATTAATATCCTTCCAAATTCGTCATGATCTATATTTAGGAAAGTAGTAGGACTAGAAAATTTGGAGTAAAGGAGGGGAGATGTGGCCGGCAGCTCGGAGGAGGTTAGGACTTGGGGCCGGCAAGTAGGAAGGGAGAGGGGATTTTCGGCGTAGGGATATAATGGTGGTGGAGGGGTTGGCCAGAGGAGATGGGGATGATAGGGGTCGGTGGGCTTGGAGAAAGGGAGGGAGTTGGTGGAGAAGATAAACCATGAGCCCGAAGCTTCATGCGGCTTGATGGGTAATACTTTCCCCTCACCTAGGGATTCAAACCAGTAGTCCCGGACGCTTCGCGGCTGTGGGTTAATACATTGCCCTCACCTATGGGATCACCTCTCAATGAGAATTCTCAAAGCTCTCAATAACAAGTGCTACATTTTTTCCTTAATAATCATTCATCCCAAAAAAGAAGAGCGGGCTAATAATAACCAAAATATAATAATAAGAGACAAGATGACAAGAGGAGTGCCCCATGGGGTTACGTATGGCTATCCCTCAAGTGAGGTACAATAACAACATCAAGCTTTGTCCACTACGTGGGGTCGGCTTACATGAATTCTTTTTTCTCCATTTGTGTCGGTTAAAAGTTAATTCTTATTTAAACTCTAATAA